TAATACCTGCCAAAAACGTGTTTAAAAGAAAACTATACGAATATATCCGTAACCAACAAATTTGAATCCACTTACTTTATATGTTTATAGTTATTTGTATATAAATTTATGGAGATATATATTTATATATGTATATGTGTATGTATATATGTGTATATATGTATATATATTATATGTATGTGTAGCATGTACATTTTAAATTGAATGAGATCATGACATCTTTACTGCCCATAACTCACTCTCTGTTCTACCCAAGGTTAGCTGGTAGAGAATGCCATATAGCATTAAGCTCGCCTTTTGTACAAAATCTTTGGTGCAATAAGGAATAAAATAAATAAATAAATAAATAACTAGTCTCCATTGAGACGGTGACCGAAATTTGACCTGGTGGACATTATTAATTTGTCCATTCATTTCAAATTTGTATGTTTTGTAATAATGCCAAAAAAACGAATGTGTTTGTCCGTGTCTAAGTTAGAAGATTTTTCTTTTTGTCACAGTTTTATAAAGAATTAATTTTTTTACCCTTGTGAAGTAGAGTAATACGAAAACCATTAGAATTCGCTGATAATTTAAAATATATTCACACTGTCAGTGCTACGGCTTATTTCTACAAAACAGATTTATTAAATTTTTCAAGAACTAATTAAAAATTCAAAAAGGTCTGTTTTCTCGCTAAAGTTTACCTAAAATGAAACAAGCTGTTAAACTTATACTATATAATCCGCTTTGAGTCTCTTACATTTTTTTAAAGTTTTTAGTGTCGTTAGAGAAACCATCACATCATCTCATACCATGTGTTTAATTAATATTTTAGTATGATGATTGCAAAGCTAAGTGGCGTGTAGTGGCGGCTGAGAATATCCACTACCCCATATCTTCCCGTGGGTGTCGTAAGAGGCGACAAAGGGAGACAGACAGGAGATAGGCAGCAGCATCTTCCTAATAACAACATTAATATAATAAAAAACTGCGGTTGCCAACCCGTTCACCAAGAGTGGCAACTATGGCAAATATCCCCCCATGAGTAACGACGCAAACAAAAGGCCCCCACTCCCAGCGGCCTCGCTACTCTTGGCTACGGTGGCGACCATGGTAAAGGCGGGGCAGGGGGTGCTAAGAATCTCCGGTAGATGTTCGGTTGCCACCTACGACGACTCGACCTGGCAACATATAACGCACACACTCTGAGGACTGACGAGAAGACACTGGAGTTGGAAGAAGAGGTAGACAAGTTGCGCTGGCATATTTTTGGATTATAAGAGGTCCGAAGAGAGGAGGAGGACACGGTAATCCTCGAGTCCGGCAACTTGTTCTATCACCGGGAGGGCGACCATCTGTCCCAAGGAGGTGTCGGATTTATCGTCCACAAGTCTCTCGTCAACAACGTTGTAAAGATTGGGAGTGTATCGACGAGTGTCGCGTATCTGATACTCAGAATTACCAAACGGTATTCGCTGAAGGTCATACAGGTTTACGGACCAACGTTGGCATATCCCGATGAGGAGGCGGATGAAATGTATGAGGATATTTCCAGAGCCATGCATTCCTCCAAAACCCACTAAACGGTGCTAATGGGAGACTTCAACGCAAAACTAGGCACAAGAAAAAGCGGTGAGCTGAAGGTGGGGAAATTTGGAGTAGGGTAACGGAACCGTAGGGTGCTGGCCCCTACTCCCCACCTGACCGACTTTATGGAGAAAGAGGGACTCTTTATGATGAACTCTGTCTTCCAGAAGCGGCCCCACAGGAAGTGGAACTGGTCGAGCCCCGACAGTTTGACAAAAAATGAGATTGACTTCATTATGACGACCAGACGCCAACTGTTCAGTGATGTCTCAGTTATCGCAAGGGTGAAAACTGGCAGCAATCACCGAATGGTTAGAGGCACACTGAACCTAAACGTTAAGTTGGATAGGTCTCGTCTAATGAAGTCAACGCTCCATCCCCCTCGTGCTCTAATCCAGAATCCCGAAACCTTTCAGCTCGAGTTACGTAACCGCTTTCAGTACCTAGAAGATTGCAATGCATTGGACGATATGAATGACAAGCTCGTGGAAACTGTCCATGCGGTCGGAGCTAAGTTTTGCAAGACCCGCCGCAGAAGAACACAAAAACTCTCCGATCACACCCTTAATCTCATGGCTGTTAGAAGGGAGATGAGGCTACAATCTTCAACAGATTTGATGGCATACAGGCAACTGAACAGGCAGATCTCCAAATGCATGCGGCGAGACTTGCGCAACTTCAATACAGTTCGTATTGAAGAAGCGATCGAGCGGAATCAGGGCTCCAAAGTCTTTGCCAGAGATCTGTCTGCCAGTAAGAGCCAACTGTCAAAGCTGAAGACTGAGTGTGGCAGCATCGTTTCCGGAACACCTGAGATTCTGTATGAGATTGAGAGGTTCTATGGGCAGCTGTATACATCATTGTTGGAGCCACACGCAAGTGTGAGACGATCCAAGAGCAACTATTTGACACTATTCCGATGATATCCCGGACGTCAGTCTGAGCGAGATTAGAAGGGCTCTCCAGCACCTCAAAAACGGCAAGTCCCCGGGCGAGGATGGAATTACAGCGTAGCTTCTAAAAGCGGGTGGAACAATGGTACTTGAAGTCCTTTAGAGGCTCTTTCATTTCGTCATCCATGGTGGCACTACTCCGGAGGCGTGGAGCAGAAGTGCGGTGGTCTTGTTCTTCAAGAAAGGCAACCACGCCTTCTTGAAGAACTACAGAAAGATATCTCTTCGAGTCACGTCCGTGCTGTTTTTGAGAGTCATTACGAATCGTCTCGCACGCAGACTCGACGACTCCCAGCCTCCCGAAAAAGCCGGTTTCCGAATAGGCTTTAGTACCATAGACCACATACATACCCTTCGGCAAATTGTACAGAACTCCGAAGAGTACAATCTGCCACTTTGCCTGGTGTATGTGGACTATTAGAAAGCCTTTGATTCCATCGAAATTTGGGCGGTGCTACAGTCTCTACAGCGGTGCCAAGTTGACTATCGGTATATCTAAGTGCTGAAGTATTTGTACAGTAGGGCTACGATAGCTATCCGAGTACAGAACCAGAGTACGAAACCTATCCAACTGCAGAGAGGTGTAAGACAGGGTGACGTTATTACCCTGAAACTCTTTACCGCTGCATTGGAAGACGTTTTCAAGCTACTGGACTGGAAAGAATGAAGTTGTTGACGAGTACGTTTACCTGGGACAAATAGTCCGACTAGGTAAGTCCCACTTCGACCGAGAGGTTAATTGACGGATTTAACTCGGCTGGGTAGCGTTCGGGAAATTACGACGCATCTTCTCGTCAGGTAAACTTCAAAACCTGAAAACTAAATTGCACAACCAGAGCATGTTGCCAGTGATGACCTACGGAACCGAGACGTGGTCCTTCACTGCCGGCTGTATGAGGACGCTCAAAGTCGCTCAGCGAGCTATGGAGAGGGCTATGCTCGGAGTTTCTCTGCGTGATAAACTAAGAAATGAGAATATCCGCAGTAGAACCAGAGTGACACATAGCTCAACGGATTAGTAAGCTGAAGTGGCAATGGGCCGGCCATATAGCTTGGAGAACCGGCAAACGTTGAGGAAAAAAGGTTCTCGAGTGGCAGCGTCCTACCGGTAGGCGAAGTGTAGGGCGACCCCCCACTAGATGGAGTGACGACCTGGTAAGACATGCAGGAAGTCGATGGATGCAGGTGGCTCAGGACCGTGCTTTGTGGCATACCTTGGGGGAGGCCTATGTTCAGCAATGGACTTGTGAAGGGCTGTAATAATGATGATGATTGCTAAAAGAAAATGTTTTTAATAATGGAATAAATTACAACTGTTGATTAAATCACCTAGCTTTGTAAAGCTTTAAAGTTTTATTGATATTTATATCCTTTTTATTAGCTCATTTTAAAATATATTTTAATAATGCTAAGCGTATATGCTTAGAATTAGTATTATATTAAAAAAATTACCTTTAATTTTTTGTTTTACTAGTGAATTGAAACTACAAGTAAAATAATCTATATGGCTCTGAATAAAACTCTTAAAATGCTTTACATCATCTAAAATGCTGGAAATTAAAAAATAAGTTATATAAATTAAAATACAAAAGTTTTGTTCAATGTCTAGTATTGGTATAGATATAAGGAATCATTATATGTTTCTGGTTGATTTAAAATTTTACAAATTATCTCTGAAATTAAACAAAGTTTAACACATGAATGAGTGTCATCGTAATATTCAGAACTGCAATCATTTATATATTTTAAAGTATATGCAATATATGTGTACAAACTACAAATTAGCGACGAGGACGTTATTCACGCGCATAAACAATAGTGATTGTGCTTTACACGATGTCGCTCGGTAAAATAGGAAACTTTGAATTGAGTCCCGGTAACTGGTCGATAGATCTCGAACGACTCGAACAATACTTCATCGTTAACGGTGTTAAAGATGAAATGAAGGTGCCGACATTAAAAACAGTTATGGAATGTCCAACATACGAGTTATTATTAAATTTATGCACACCATCAATACCGGCTTAGTTGACTTGTAAAGAACTAAACAAGAGCAGAGAAACAATCATGAGCAGCCATTTGCAACCAAAGCCAAGTATTCTCGCGGAAAGATATAAATTTAGGCAACGAAAGCAAAATGAAGATGAAAACATATCGGAGTGTGTAGCGGAGTTAAGAAAAATTACAAAATTTAGCGATTTCAAAGGTATAATTATTGAAAATTTACGGGATCAGCTGGTCTGCGGATAACGGGCGGAGAGCATAAGACAGAGACTGTTTACTGAAGAGTACTTACATTTTGAGGGAGCCTTAAAATTGGCACAGTCAATGGAGATGGCAATGAGAGACGTGGCGATCGTAGATGGTAGAGAGCAAATTAACGAGGACGTTTGTAAAATTACTACATGTAATAATGAGGGACGATTGGCTGGCGGCAGATAGGAGACGAGCCCAAGGTAGCAGGACGTCAGGTCAAGATTATACGCGGCGCAGGCGGGAGGCAGTCGGCCGCGCGGACGACGCCACGTGGCGGCAAGCACCTTCACCACGGTGAGGATGTTCGGACAGCAGTGTACTGCATGCGGCAAACTGCATGAGGTGTCGCGATGCAAATTTCGGGTTTACGTGTGCAGAATTTGCAATAGGCAGGGTAACTTAAAGAAGGTTTGTCTGCAAAGCAGATTCTCGGAACATAACTATGTCCAACAAATTGAGTTAGCTGAAAGAGCAATGGATAGCGACGAAAATAAAGAGGTGCGATTAATTAATAATATTTTTTACCATACATATTACATAATAGAAGATTTCAGACCATATTTGTTAAATATATTAATTAATGAAAATGTTTTACAAATGGAGATTAACACAGGTAGCTCAGTTTCCTGTATTAGTGAAGATTGTTATATAACAGAATTTCCGAATTTTATATTATAAGCTAGTAATTTAGTTCTTAAATGTTACACCTGGTAGAGGGTGAAAGTCCTGGGGAAAATAAAGCTTAAGCTGCAGTATAATGTTGCTACATGTATGTTATATTACCTTTATGTATAGGTAAAGGAACTCGATCATTTTTAATCGGAAGAAATTGGTTAGAAAATTTAAAAATTGTGGACAATAGTTGGTTAAACAAAAGCAAAATGAAGTTCGTCGTTCAGTTCCAGATATTGTGATGCGTTTACGGAGAGGCGAGGGCGGTTCACCAGTGCACCGGTCAGTCAGCGCGTGCGAGCCGACGCGCGACCTGAGTTTCTGCGCGCGCGCCATCTTCGGTCGGCGACTAGGAAACCGATTGAGCGCGCTTTAGAAAGTATCCAGCGAGAAGGTGTTATTTCGGAATGGGCTACACCAACTGTACCGGTAGTTAAGGCGGACGGTATCATTTATATTTGCAGAGATTTTAAGCTCACGCTTAATAAGTATTTAGAAGTCGATAGACACCATATTCCTCGAATTGATGATTTCTCTCTTGGCTCAACGGAGGGAATAAATTTACAAAAATCGAATTAAGCCAATCTTACGCGCAGTTAGTAACAAGTCAGGAATCAAGAAAATGTACCAATAATAATACGCATAAGGGTTTATTTTATTTCAATAATTTGATATACGGATCATCGTCGTGTCCGGGTATTTTTCAACGTATACTTGAAAATATATTTGCCGACTTGGTGAAAGTAGGGGTTTCTCTAGACGACGTGATTATAACAAGAAAAGATGATAAAGAACATATTAGGACACTTCACACGGTTTGAGCTGTTACAAAAATTTGGATTACGCCTAAAAAAGGAAAAATGTAAATTTTTTGCCGATTTAGTTACTTAATTAGGTTACGTTATAGTTCAATTTAATATTTGTTATGTTGCTTGTGTAAATAAAATAAAATTCAATAGTCTTTCAGTTTTAATAATTATAATTTACACAAGTTACAAGTCTTTTACAACACACAGAAGGAAAATAGAGTGATAGTTATATATAGAAGGATAGCACTAGAACTAAGAGTATCAAGCGAACGAATTAATTATAATAACAGTTTCTTACCATGAGTAAACAGTCAACAAACGAACAGTATGGCATACGTAAACGTACTGGTGGCACAACGTGTTCTCAAAACACGGGATAAGTAAATCGTCAAAAAAATAGGTGCTATAAAACAGTTTCCACAACCAAAAAATTAACTACCGGTATAATTGGTGTAGCCAATTCCGAAATAACACCTTCTCGCTGGATACTTTCTAAAGCACGCTCAATCGGTTTCCTAGTCGCCGACCGAAGATGGCGCGCGCGCAGAAACTCAGGTCGCGCGTCGGCTCGCACGCGCTGACTGACCGGTGCACTGGTGAACCGCCCTCGCCTCTCCGTAAACGCATCACAATATCCGGAACTGAACGACGAACTTCATTTTGCTTTTGTTTAACCAACTATTGTCCACAATTTTTAAAATTTCTAACCAATGTCTTCCGATTAAAAACGATCGAGTTCCTTTACCTATACATGAAGGTAATATAATATACATGTAGCAACATTATACTGCAGCTTAAGCTTTATTTTCCCCAGGACTTTCACCCTCTACCAGGTGTAATATTTAAGAACTAAATTACTAGCTTATAATATAAAATTCGGAAATTCTGTTATATAACAATCTTCACTAATACGGGAAACTGAGCTACCTGTGTCAATCTCCATTTGTAAAACATTTTCATTAATTAATATATTTAACAAATATGGTCTGAAATCTTCTATTATGTAATATGTATGGCAAAAATATTATTAATTAATCGCACCTCTTTATTTTCGTCGCTATCCCTTGCTCTTTCAGCTAACTCAATTTGTTGGACATAGTTATGTTCCGAGAATCTGCTTTGCAGACAAACCTTCTTTAACTTCTTCTACCCTGCCTATTGCAAATTCTGCACACGTAAACCCGAAATTTGCATCGCGACACCTCATGCAGTTTGCCGCATGCAGTACACTGCTGCCCGAACATCCTCACCGTAGTGAAGGTGCTTGCCGCCACGTGGCGCAGTCCGCGCGGCCGACTGCCTCCCGCCTGCGCCGCGTATAATCTTGACCTGTCGTCCTGCTACCTTGGGCTCGTCTCCTATCTGCCGCCAGCCAATCGTCCCTCATTATTACATGTAGTAATTTTACAAACGTCCTCGTTAATTTGCTCTCTACCATCTACGATCGCCACGTCTCTCATTGCCATCTCCATTGACTGTGCCAATTTTAAGGCTCCCTCAAAATGTAAGCACTCTTCCGTAAACAGTCTCTGTCTTATGCTCTCCGCCCGTTATCCGCAGACCAGCTGATCCCGTAAATTTTCAATAATTGTATCTTTGAAATCGCTAAATTTTGTAATTTTTCTTAACTCCGCTACACACTCCGATATGTTTTCATCTTCATTTTGCTTTCGTTGCCTAAATTTATATCTTTCCGCGAGAATACTTGGCTTTGGTTGCAAATGGCTGCTCATGATTGTTTCTCTGCTCTTGTTTAGTTCTTTACAAGTCAACTAAGCCGGTATTGATGGTGTGCATAAATTTAATAATAACTCGTATGTTGGACCTCCCATAACTGTTTTTAATGTCGGCACCTTCATTTCATCTTTAACACCGTTAACGATGAAGTATTGTTCGAGTCGTTCGAGATCTATCGACCAGTTACCGGAACTCAATTCAAAGTTTCCTATTTTACCGAGCGACATCGTGTAAAGCACAATCACTATTGTTTATGCGCGTGAATAACGTCCTCGTCGCTAATTTGTAGTTTGTACACATATATTGCATATACTTTAAAATATATAAATGATTGCAGTTCTGAATATTACGATGACACTCATTCATTATAATGGAATGAAATGAAATTCAAAACAATTTCGGTTGACACACCACCCCACATGTCGGTCACCTCGTGAGCCTGGTCCAGATATTTTTATGTTTGTTTATCTGTTTCGGCTTTCACGAGGTTCTCGTCATACGGAATGGTAATGTCGATCAAAAATATCTTTGACAGTGCCCGGTCCATCAGCACAATATCAGGCTTATTCGCAAGAATAGTCCTGTCTGTGATGATGGCCCGGTCTCAGTAGAGCCTGGCGCGGTCATTTTCGAGCACGGCTTCCGGCAAGTACTTGTAATACGGTAATTTCCGGTCCACGAGACCGTATTTCAGAGCGAGCTCCTGGTGTAGAATTCTGGCCACTAGGTTGTGCCTGTGCAAGTACTCAGAGTTAGAAAGCGCCGAACAACCGGAGATGACATGCCTAAGTGACTCCCCGGGATGGCGACAAGCTCGACAGACGTCGACGGTGCCATCCTTTAGGATGTATCTCCGATAGTTGTTGGTCTTAATAACCTGATCTGTATTGCACAGACTAAACCCTCGGTTTCCCCAAAGAGGTCACCGAAACGTAGCCAGTTGAGGGAGGCGACTGTATCTACGAAGGGCTCATGTAGAGCCTTGTAGTACCTCCCGTAGAGCTCCTTCTCCTTCTATATGGTCTCCCGGTCAGAAATGCTAAGCACTGCAGGGTCCTGCCATTGCTCGTTGGCTAAGGATAGAGGTGTAAGCCCTTTATTACTAGAAATGACGTCATTATAGAATGGATCATCCGATCTCGTCAAGAAGTATTGACGGAGACTGCACACTTCGCAATTATGCATGGTGAGCGTGCTCAGAAAGCGACGCCCACCATGCTTTCGCGGCAAGTACAGCCTCATTACTGACGATCTCGGATGATGCATCCTATGGGACGTCATGGTAGTGCGGACTTTTCTATCCAGGGCGTTAAGCTCAGTCTGAGTCCACCTGAGTATGCCAAAGGTATACATGAGGACAGGCATGACCCAGCAGTTATATGCGTGTGACTTATTCACACCGGACAAAAGGCTGTTAAGCACTTTGGTCAAGCGTGCATAAAACACGTCGCAAACTGACTATTTCATACCAGACTCATCGATACCGATGTTCTGTGACATACCCAGGTATCGGTATGTTTCAGCCTCAGAAAGGGTCCTTAAGTTGACGGGCATAGACTTGTCTCAGAGTTAGCAACCCTTCCCCTTTTAACATGGAGGACCGCACACTTATCCGTCCCCAGTTCCATTCCAATGGAATTGCTAAATTCACAAGTGATGTTTAGCAGTTCCATGAGATGGGAGCGACTGGAGGCGAATAACTTGAGGTCATCCATGTAGAAAAAGTGGGTCACTTTTGTCCCTCCTTTCCGTAGCTGAAATCCTCTCCCGGAGCCCTCCAGTAAGGTACTGAGAGGGTTAAGAGAGAGGCAGAACCAGATTGAACTCAAACAATCGCCCTGGAAGATACCCCTTCTTATCCTTATGTGGTTCTCCGCAGCCATCATCCGCTCACCCAGATGACAAAGCATCGTACTCCACTGCCCCATACACTGTTCGAGGACGTGTCTAACTGTACAGTCAATCTTGTACAGCTCGAGGACCCTCTTTAGCCATGTATGGGGCACAGAGTCGAACGCCTTTCTGTAGTCTATCCAGGCGGCAGAGAAGTTCCGACGGTTGCATTTCACCACTTTGCCAATGACCGCGTCAATGAGGAGTGGTTCCTTGTTTCCACGACCACCACCCCGACATCCATTTTGAGCGCGTGACATCACCTGGTTTAGCTCCAGTTGACGAGTGATTCTCGCGCTCAAAATAGATGTCAGTGTCTTATATATGGTGGGTAGACACGTGATGGGGCGGTATTTGCTCGGGTCTGTGGTATCCTGATCTTTAGGAACCAAGTGAGTGATCCCAGTAGTGAAGAGACTCGGAAGCGACTTCTGATCGAGAGCCTCTTGAAACTGTCGGGCGAGCACATCGTGACACACTGTGAACCCCTTCAGCCAGAAATGATGCAGCCCTTCGAGCCCCGGACTTTTCCAGTTCGGCGCCCTACGGACCGCCTCAGCCACGTCTTCCGGCGTTATGGTGATGGGGTCCGTAAGCGTAACACTCGCACCCTGGCTCGCCACAACTTCCATCCAAGGGCCCTCGCTGTGGTTTACGGGCTCTGACCACAGGCCACGCCAGAATGCGATAATTTCAGCCTGATCCGGTCCTTGGCCCGCTCCACATACCTTTGGTCGCTCCAATGATTTATAGAGCCTGTTCTGATCACTCTGGAAGAGACGATTCTGGTTGAACCGCCTTGACCTCTCGGTAAATCGTCGCTTCCCCCAAGCAGTGATCTTTTGCTTCAGGTCGTCTATGTGCTCCGTTAGTTTCTGCGTGATATCCGGGTGGGACAAACTGATATTTGTCCCAGCAAACGCCATCCTAACGGTGCGCACAATCCTCGGTCTATTATTACCCGACCTGAATCTTGTCAGTCTGCCGATAAGGGCCCTTGCCTTTGCGATACGGTCCTCGATTCTTTTTCTCCAGGCTGGGATGGTGCTACTTTCTGTAGTAGCGCGTCCAGCCAAGGGAAGTTTGGCGCCATTAATACGGAAAACTGCCACTGCGGCGCCAAAGAGAATTGAGTCCGTCTCGCAAAGGTCCCGGCTGGCTTCCAAATTGGTCACCAGCATTGGGTTAAGAGCCCTCACGACAGCCCGATTTCGTTTGCTTAGGGGTATACGGGCAAGTCGCGGTCGATTTTCAAGAGAGGTGCTGCGCATTTCCAAAATCGCCTCTTCCAATATACTCCTCATTTGCTCTAGTTCGTGGGAGACTATTTCATCGTCGTTCGAATCAACCACAACTCCATGGCGGAACAAGGAACAAGATCCATGGCGGCTTCCACATGTGGATGCTGGTCTGTCGGATGTGGAGCTGCATCTCCAGCCATAGCCGATTCATTCGACGATGGAATAGCCTCACGTCGTAGTCGTTCGAGTTCGGCATCATCAAATATTTTCGAGCGCATTATGTACCGAATTCGGTCTGCCAGGTTTTGTTCCGTGACGGGGATAGAAGGTTCCAGGTCAGCAAAAAAGCAATGTATCCGAGCCCTATACGCTATTCCCACAGTTTCTTCCCCTTTCGCCCTATAGTACGCCCGCAATGCGTTTTCGTTCATAGATTTTGTCAAACGCATGTGACGTGCTCCACCAGCGGCGGGTGTCGCTTGCTGAGTCCGAGAAGACTATTATTATTATATTGACTGCCTCGTCAGTCTCGTGGATGTAGTAGTGCGACTGCTGATCATGAGGTCCTGGGTTTGAATCCCGGGTCGGGCCAAATTAATTATTGAGTTTTTCCGTCAAGAAATTCTCAGTAGTATCCCAGAGACAGGAAGTTGGCGGTGTCTCACCCTCGTACCTCGGAAAGCACGTAAAGCTGTTGATCTTGCGCCTGATCTATCTCCGATCGTGTCAGTTTACCGTCCCATCGGATTATGAGAGTGAGGGAATTGAGAGTGCACCTGTGTTTGCGCATACACTTGTGCACTATAATCCTGTCCTGCGCCGATGGCTAGCCTCCGTTGAGGCAGGCCGCTGTGGCCGAAATTCGGTTTGGAGGACATTACATTATTATATTATCTTCTTGGGGCGTAAAATACCCAGACCCGTGAGAAGGAGCAGCGTCAGCAAAACTATCAATTTAAATTATATTTTTAAGCTATTGCATAGCTTCTATCGCGGGCCTTGAGTGCGGGAAAATCCAGAAATTTCGTAACGAAAAAAACCTCACGCTCTCCGACGGGCACGGAGGTGTGGCTTGAAGGCCGCGCATTGTCTAACGATGGTCTAACGTCGTTTCTTTTCCTCAGTCTTCGACACGGTGTTTGTGTATAAAGTGTTTTGAAATTTTGAATATGAATGAACAAAGTGCATTTATTATTAAGGCTGCTCTCTCGCAAAAAGCTTGAAAAAAAGCGTGCAGATGAACCAACTTTTCGTCGACACTTACAGAGAAATTACATATGAAAAAAATAGCTAGTAATCTACATGATCTGATACGTAATTTAGTTTAGCCATAATTTTTCTATCGGTGTTACATAATAAATAAAAAAATACCCAAATCACCTCCAAATCGTTGAGATGAAACCACTTTACTCCTTCATTGTTTATCAAAGGAATATAAAAAAAATATCTACTGCTTTAGAAATATGTATTATTTTTATGATAATAAATTAAAAATGCGTCCCGATTAAATACTGCGTCGATCGAATGTATGAAGAAAAGCGGGTTTTGTGCATTTGTAGTACATATTGTAACGCTTCCCCCCTCTCATAATAATAAATATATAAAATACTAAATGTATTATATTCCCCTTTATATTAAAAATTATATATATGTGACCAGGATTAATAAATTATGTTTAGATCTTTCTAAATGATCTTTCTAAAGTTTTAATAATAGGCCGTTTGTAATATTTTGGCGTGATCGTCTTAGTTAAGACCCTTATTTACGTTGCGTTTGTTTAGTAACTTAGTTCTTTTAGGTGTCCTTTGGAAGAATGAATATTCACTATAGCAATTGAAAGCTGTTGGTAGTGCCTTATAAGCTAAGTGAACCCAGTTCACGAAGACAGGGCTCGAGAAAGGTTAAGAACGTAAAACGTCTTTATTCCACTTGTATCAGGTTGACATTATTCATTTATTATTATTTATCCCTTCCCTCTTGGAAAAGGCTCACAATATATTTATACAAAAATACCCAATACAAGGGCTTCGCTCTCCTACATTTACACACGCCGTGCACGGTGAGCGCCAACCATTTTGATGCACTCCCCCCGAAGGGAACGCTAATTCGGGAACTGGACCGTAGTCCACAGCAAATAAACTGGCGAACCAGTAAAAGAGGCTTGGCCCCTTGTTAGTGCGTAAGCACAAACATCGACCGAAGTCGCGCATGTCAAAAAGTGTAAACGCCATACAGAATACGAACGAATCCAGCCACAGTGAATGTACGTCACACGGTTTAGGCAAATAGGCACACTGGCCGTAAACCCTCCGTGAGCGCCACCACCTGCCAGACCATTGCTCCTGCATACGTGATGTAAGTGTATGGCATCACCACCAATTGCATGATCAGCACGGCTACTAGCCGCAGAGCGTGTCATGAGTCTACCGCTCACCTCAAGGGAATGGGGTCCCACGTTGTGCGGCTTTCGGCCGCAGCCTTGAGAGTCTCCTCAGATCCTCCCGCCAGCTACTACCCGCATGAGGTCGACACATATGCTCCACCAACCAATACAATGGCAGATATAGCCAAAAAGCAGTTATAAGATAAGAGTAATAATTCGCCATCAGAAAGGGTTTGTGTCACTGACGTTGAGTAAATGCATTTTCGATCATGTTTGTCTCACCCACCGACAAGTTGCCTTCAATCATTCAAAGGTGGGAAAGTTACAGAGATATAATATTATATTGTTATATAAAACATCGTGGAGGGCAGACAGTCTGCAGCCCCGTAATGAAGGGACCCGACTTGGGCAAAGCTACTCAGGTTTGAGTCAATCCAAGACGTAGAGAGCGCCATTGAGAATAGCGTCCCACCAAACAACCATCGCAGAGACGCAATGCTGCAGAACGCAACAAGCATCAATACGACTATCGTCAGGCTTACACCATTCCAAGGTCCCCCATGCATCCCAGCAGACATCACCACCTGCATACCTCCATCGACCAGAACCACAAGAGTGCGTCGAATCAGGCGCAGCACACCCGCAGATCCATCACAAGACGCAATACCGTAAGTAGCAGTAAGCATCAATGCAACTATCATACGGATAGCGCCCCCTCACAACACACCCACATGACCCCTATCGACTTTGGTAACAAAGGTTGTATTGTTGTTATATAAAAAATATCACCAACGTATCATAGTAGCACGCTACCAAGACGCCAATGAACAAAACTCCACGTATCATAGCGCTAATGCACTAAGACATGAAGTTGAGTATGCCTGTTACACTTAAAAGTGCTACCAAACACACTCATCATCCCAATCCGAAAGATAGACGACACATCGCTATGCGCAACGACGTCGCCTACAAACGGTATGGGTGTGCGATGTCCACGGGAAAGCCGTATTGCTACAACAAACCCGCTTACCACCGGCACTAAGATGTTAATTGTATACCTCCATCGACCAAAACCACAAGAATGCGTCGAATCAGGCGTAGCACACCCGCAGATCCATCACAAGACGCAATACCGCAAGTAGCAGTGAGCATCAATGCAATTATCATACGGGTGGCGCCCCCTCACAACACACCCACATGATCCCTATCGACTTTGGTAACAAAGTTGGTATTGTTGTTATATAAAAAATATCACCAACGTATCATAGTAGCACGCTACTAAGACACCAATGAACAAAACTCACGTATCATAGCGCTAATGCACTAAGACATGAAGTTGAGTATGCCTGCTACACTTAAAAGTGCTACCAAACACACTCATCATCCCAATCCGAAAGATAGACGACACATCGCTATGCGCAACGACGTCGCCCACAAACGGTATGGGTGTGCGATGTCACAAAAACAAACCCGCTTACCACCGGCACTAAGATGATATGTCTAGGACACACCGGTTAGCGAGTCCAAGTTTACCTCGGACCAATTGCTCGTGAAGCAGCACACACGCCACCATAATATTCCTTTTCAAGTCCCTAATAAGGACTAGTCATTTTGCTACAGTACTAGGAGCAGTCAGTCACCCGACCACCCCATACAATGCTTATGCATCAAGGAGACCTCCTATAATATTGCTTTTGAATCATGGACCTTACTTTCATAAGTCATTCATATATAGGATTCGACCCACGACCCTACTATTGTAATGCATATTAATCATAGAGACCTTCTATAGTATTGCTTTTGGATCATAGACCTCACTTTCATAAGTCATTAATATATAGGGTTCGAACCCACGACCCTACTATTGTAATGCAAATTCATCATGGAGACCTTCTTTAGTATTGCTTTTGTATCATTGAGTTTAATATCATAAGTCCCTAATATAGGACTAGTCATTGTGCTACAGTACTTCAGGCAGTCGGGCTCCCGACCACCCCATATATATGTACAACTGCAGGTATGTATCTCCGGCAGCTCCTCTATACAAGACATCTATACATGAACACCTTCCATTGAAAACTTAGGAAAATTTTCTTTTATACATGAACTCCTTCCAAGACAATTTTCAACAAATTTTCTAATTATCTTATAAATGCTATTTATCTTTATTTTTATAATATTTTCGACTTGTATTTCTATTATTTATCTTATTTTAAATATTTTTTTCAAGTTTTTAATAAATTTATACATATATTATGGAAGACAATATTTTGCCTTTAATTTACTATGTTATTGGTCTAATGTCTGAAATGTATTTATATTAACTTTATGGTTATTAATGTAATTTTATTGCTTAATATATATATCTTTTAAAACTATTTTGAAACCTCTTTATATTGAATTTAATTATTAATAATAATATTGGGCCGTCACAATATGTACATACATAATGTTATGTGTTTATTAAAAACAACAATTTCAACGAAAATCAATGTTTATTAAGAAATTATTATTTTTTAATAAACATTGATTAAATTCCATGAAGAGATATAAATCTATATAACCATCCGTTACTTGCGACAAACGAGCCGCCGTCACCTAATTTTTTATTTAACTGTGATGCTTTTTCACAAAGCAAAGGGCCGGATATCATTTGCCCAGTTGATCGTTTTTGTAAAAACCAACAATACAAAGCGTCTTCTAATTGCCAATTTACTCGCGGACATAGGTCCTTATGTCCGGGACGGGGGTTTGTTAGCGCCTGATAGTAGATCGTCTTATCTCAAGCGGTGTGAAGCGACGATTAGTGAGGTGCGGGAGGGGGAGGCTAGCTGCATTTGTGCGCGCGGTCGGTCACCCCTGTTGGCATCGAGCCGAGCTAGGGAGTAGACGGCGGGGCCGGGCTGCACCCGGCCCGCCGCTAGGGCGCGCTCCTAGCTAGGCACGCGGTGCCTGCGCCGATGACGTTCTCCGGACGCATTATAGGGGTCGCGAGAGTTTTTGCGCGAAGCCGGGTTGTTCATATATTGAAAGTCTCCTTGTTTTGTCTTAGACTTATGTTAATAG